GATTCCCTTTGACGATGCTGATGATATCAATGATGAACCACCTAACCACCACTGTACCTAACCGTCCCTTAGAGCGACCGCAAGTCGAATGTCATTCGGTACGAAAATATTGAGCATTCGGACGATAAGTTTCGTCGAAGACAAAAATACGCGCAAGGACGATTTTTTTCCATATCACGAAATTTGGCAGGATGACGGAAACAATTTTTTTCTTATTTCGTACGATTCACTTGAAAATTCTCGGGAACGTTCGAAGAGCGTCTGCGACTGGCCTGAATCTTGTCGAGTGCTGTTAAGCTGTTAACGGAAAGGAGGAAAATTCGTTTAAGAGTCTTTCGAAACTTCAGCGAAGCCGAACCAAGCTGAATCATCCCCTAAAATCGTGTCCCTCAAAAAACCGCATTACGTTACCACTTGGGCAGGACGTGAGTATAAGATCCTGTGTACTAGGGATGAAATCAATTATTGGGAGAATTAGTGGCGCCTTGGGGCACGTATCCGATGCCACCCCTTGTCTGGGGCTAACGATACGGGGATGCTCGGTACCGAGTACGTGCATTACTGCCGATAGATCCCAACCCCCTAGGCAAACATCATACGTCGATTTCGAAATCGCCAAGCTGTATGTACTGTTCTGGGTACACGTTATATATGACTATAACGTATTGTGGGAGATTGACAGCAGTCATAAGATCCTATTGATTTTAGCAGCGCTTGAAAATTTTTTTCCAAGCAAATGCAAAGTGACAACAAACGAATCATATTCGTATTGAATATTTAACGTAACTGGACAAACATGGCAACTGATGAAAAGTATAATCCATCCACGAGTAGAATACATTTTTTGACAGATCGCAAATATATACTTAGCTAATCACACGTGGCTTTTCTAAAAAATCACTGACACTGCATGCTCAAGTAGAAATGCATATTTCAGTGCGAAATCGTGCTCGTGGATACTTACGATTAGTTAAAAAAATTATATGCAAAATTACATCTGCGAAAAGAGACTTTGTTGGATTCGATCTGTTAAGGAGGCACAATTTATCTCGTGGACCGATTTGTAGCTATTTGCGGAACATCCGAAAGTTGCTAACAGTCGAAGATAAACGCCTATTCAAGAATGTATCCGTAACAGAAAAGTCATCAGAGGATTTGAGGATTGGCAGCACGTATACAAAATTCGAAAACCCTCACTGCTTCCAGCCTCATTTGCACGAGTAACAATTCGCTACATTCGTTTCGCATTCGTATACCCGTACATGACAGCTGTCAAATCCAACCAGTGCGTTTGAACTGAATACCCCCCTCACAGTATATACAACACAGGTATACCTCTATGCATATCGATATCCGTACATCAGATTCCAATGTACAAATCAGTACTCTGCCAATTGAATACCGAACGTGTCACGCCGTCCACCTACTATATCCTCACATATGAATGATTAAACGAATCCTCCAGTCCAGCCTCCATATATCGACAAGCTGCCACGTTGGACGCATATGGGAAATATCATATCCGCAAATGGCTATACAATATTTATATCCGAGCATAAACGTGACACTTGTCAAATCCATTTCAATTCGTAGGAACCGCAAAGCGTGTAAGCGCATAAGAAATTTAAGAATAATAAAAGAAACCAGAAGATCAATCTCTTAGAGTGAATTCGTGAAAATGCAAGGTAAAAGAAGTCTCGGATCCGTTTCCTGGTCAGACATTAGATTCGCGTTAGCCGAGCGAGAAATCGCAAGATGTTTCCAGAAAAACGTGGAAATTTCATGATAAGGACACGTGTTTCCACGTGGTACACCATCGCCCCGCACCACCCACCAATCTCACTCTTCCCCGCCTCTTCCTCATTTAGATGATAATACGGCCGAGGGCTCGGACTCGATAAGCGATAACAAGAAGCACAGAATCCCTGATAGGTACACGAAGGTGATAGTAGAAAAGGAGAGTGCAAGGACGTTATAGGACGCAGTTAAGGAATCATGAAAAAAAAAAAGTAAATCTCACGCGTCAGATCTAATATCTCATAAGTGGGTGGCTGGAGGGGAAGGGAGTGGTATAGGTGGCTCTTCCTGGAGACTCCGAAAACTTTACGAAGACGTCGCGAGAGTGAAAGACGTGCGCTGGAGGGTGTACCAAGGGTAGAAAAAAATAAACCTGGCAATATTTCAGAAGGAACTTTTTAGTAAGATTACCGACTGATAATAATTCAAAACTCAGACTGAGTCGTAGCTACCAGTGTCGGAGGCCTCCTGGAATTTAATTTCAATTCTGAATTCTCAGCCCCCCCTCCCCAGACCGTCCCAAAAGCGTAATGTCAGGGGTTGTAAGTGACAGTGGCGTGGAACACGTGGATAATCTGAGGCGACGTAGACAAAAGCCCGAGATAGACATTGAAGGAGAAGCGTGAGGAGACCAGAAGAGCTACCTGGACTAGGAGACACAGCATCCGCCCAGTAAGTACCACTTGAGCATCGATTCCTTGACGTCGAATCTGATTCGATCAGACGTACCTCAAAAAAGAAAAAAATATCCAAACACGCGAAAAATGAAAAGACGAAGTAAAACGAATTGGAAGCATTTGATAGATTGAATGGAAATTTTACAGGGTTACTCAGCGCGTATAATGACGTATTGCACGTATTTTACGAAACACCCTATATATTCAACACACATCCGTTCACGTGTCCTCTACATATCTAAACCGTATACGAGAGCGAGACGAGTTCGCGTCTATCAGAGAAGATTTTCGACAATCCCCCCCCCCCCCCCCCCCCCCC